TTTGGAGGGAAGGAGTGGGAGGACAATAGAGCCCTTAATGTGCAGTGACATCATTTTTGGCTACAGTCCCACCATCCAGCCTAAAGCAAGCCAGACAAAAGACCTCCACTGGGGCCCTTCTCTGGGAGCTGCTGGAAGCAACGCTACATTTCAAAAGTGACCCATTGGCAAGCGTGAAAGGGGTGCCGCAGCACAACAGCAGGGTCCTTACACTGTTAGGACTACAAACACGACGCAAGGAGGCTCTTGTGATCACCATGCAGACAACAACTTGCCCTGTTCAGACGTGAGGCCCCAACCCTCTTGCTCCATGGGGCAGGAGCTCAGACAGGATTTGAGCAAAGCGGGATCCAGCAAAGCCAGTTAACCCTGGGGAAACCGATCTGTCCAGATTGTTCAACTGCCACTGACCTGAGAGCAGGCCATGTCCCCAGGCCAGAGTTAAGGAATAGAGAATTTGCTTCACAGCCTAACGGGTAACACAACAGAGGCAACAGGACAATGGCCAACATTATGAAGAGTAGCAGGAAACACTCAAAAGAAATGTGCATTTAACCATGCACATAGTGGCAATTTTCATTAAGAGACTTCTAATGAGTACCAACCAAGAGAAGGAGAACTGGGCATGCTGCAAAGACCTAGGAAGAGATGGTTCCCAGCCTCAAAAACTCATGACCTGAACCCACAAACGCTTCTCCTGATTGACATACGGTGGTCAAAGACACAAAAAGGGCTGCAAGGACACGATTCCTCTTCCCTACCTTCAAAATCCCCTGATTTTAAAGATGGCCAAGCCTGCTCAGTCAACGAGGAGAGGCAGGCACCTCCAGAGAAAGCTCCATCCCAGCTCTAGACACCCCATCCCTAATGAAGTCATAGAAGCAAAAGATGACGAGCTTGTGTTCAGACATCTAAAAGCTTCTTTGCAGGAGAAGAACGCCACCTCGACTGTCTGCCGACGTCCAGGACAGGGTGGGAAACTGTTTGAAGTCTCCAGAAGCCTCAGGGTAACTCCAGTATTACCTGTTGCGTGCAAGCGAGTATCAGCTACACATCTTTGTCAGACTCATCGGACCGCACTTCCACCCAACCAGGATGGCTCCTGGCTGAGTAGCTGCGCTGGCTTTCCTAAATATCCCATTCAACAACTCAACAATTCATCAACTAATTTCCCAGTTCACCATCTCCCCCTTTCTTCTCACAAAGCATGATTGTCTCCTCATCCAATTCTTCCCTTCCCCTGGTCTGTCAGGTGGTGGGGCCAGACCTCACCTCTAACACGGACACCTGGAAGCCCACCTGAATCACCACTTCCCCACTCCGCAGTGGGGAAAGTCTCCTGTCAATCTTTCTAACCCTGACCTTGCTCTCCTTCCAATCTCAGGAGCACCACTTCAGGGCAGTCTGTCTTTCCCTCTTGAAGCCTGGCCTTCCTCCCCACCCTCGGCTTCCTTCACTGTCTCAGAGCAAGGAGGCTTTGGATCCTGGGCCCTTTTCCAGCTTGAACACACTATTGGCAAAGGTCAGAGAATACTTAACCCACCACTCTTCTATAAAGCGGCCACTTCTAGCAGCTCGTGTGATGTCCCAAAGCAACAGAAGAGGGCAGAGAGGAGCTGCCAGAAAGAAGCACACAGCATTTGCTCTGAAACCCACGGACACTGGTCCCAGAGTGGGAAGCATCCGTCATGCATGAAATACTCCTGGTTTCTACACACATGGGCTCACAAACAGTACACCAATGCAGCCAGCTGTGTGACAACTCCATCTGTGCAGAGCCAGACCTGCCTGCTGTGTCCGGTGTCCAGAGCCCTGGAGTTGCCCTCAGCTCTCCCAGCACAACGCAACTGGGAAATACTGGTTGCTGAGGGCATCTCAAACATCCTTTCCACCCCCCAACTCTGCAGCTGCAAAATCCGCACATTTTCCTTCCTACAGAGTGAGCATACGACTTGTATCACCTCAAAACAGTGTTTCTTCACCAGGAAGCTGTATTTTACAAAATCCCCGAAGTGCCCCAAGGGAACTGTCAAAGCACTCTCTCAGGCAGGTGACACCCTCCTGCATGGAAAAAGCAGCAGAGGTCCGATATTCCTGTACATCCCCACAATGAGGGCTAGCACAAGAAAGGCAATTACCTGGTCCCACAGCTGCTAGGGGTAACTTGTCGTGATAATACGCTATTTCTCCCTTAAATCTGACACACACCCAGAGCCCTGGGTGCTTAAATGAGTAATTACATCAGAAATCCCAGATGCAGAGCCTCATCACCTTCCGTCTGACACCACTGCACAGGACCAAATTGTTCCCGCAGCAAACTGGGAGCAAGATGGAAATGGGAGAAGCAGCAACCCCACAAGAATCACTTGGGTCTGCTCCAGGTAACTCCAGGGCTCAGGAAACAAGTTTCTAATAATCAAGGCTGGCTAGCTGGTTAAACATATCATCTGTGCAACACTGCTTGCTGTTATTAAACGTAAAACACTGTACTTATTATTGTTGAGGACTTTCTGTAGCATCAGAAACTCAGCTCTTTTTATTGCCTGCTCTCTTCATATACTTCAG